CTCTTATCCTTGATATGCCTTAAGATGGCACCAAGGACAAGGTGTTCCATCACTTTCCCAGGAACGGAGGTGAGGCTAACCGGTCTATAGTTACCCGGGTCCTCCTTCTTGCCCTTTTTGAAGACAGGAGTGACATTTGCTTTCCTCCAGTCCTCAGGCACCTCTCCCGTTTCCCAAGACTTGGTAAAGATGATGGAGAGCGGTCTAGCAATGACCTCCACCAGTTCCCTCAGCACCCACGGGTGCATCCCATCTGGACCCATGGATTTATGGATATCCAGATTGCTCAACTGGTCTTTAACCCATTCCTCATCGACTAAGGCAGACCGCTCCGTTGACCTATCTTCATCCGAGGTCTCAGCGGTACAGGGCTCTTCAGGACTGCCTCCGGCAGAGTAGACAGAGACAAAGAAGGCATTCAGTAACTCTGCCATCTCTGTATCTTCTGTCACCAGGGCACCCGTCCCGTTCATCAGCGGGCCTACATTGCCTCTGGTGTTAGTTTTACCTGCCATGTATTTGAAAAAGCTCTTTCTGCTGTCCTTGACCCCTCTCGCCAGCTTTAATTCCAAGGAGGCCTTAGCCATCCTAGCAGCTTTCCTACATCCTCTAGCAGCAGCCTTATATTCTTCCCAAGTGGCCAGCCCTTCTTTCCATGACCTGATTTTGCTAAACCTAAACAACACAACACAATTAGTATTTTCGGAAAGTCATTTGTAAGACTGGTGTGGAAAAAAAACCCCAAAAGCGAAACACCCCACAAAAAACAAACACTGTCAAAGACTAAACAGAGGGGGGGTTTCTGGCTTCTTTTCATGTCAATGTGAACTAATTGAATAAAAGTCATCACATCTACTAGAAATAATTCTGTTACATCAGCAATAAAGTTTCTCTATAGAAGCTAGGAAACTCTTTGGTTATATATATGTACAAAGGCACAGTGAAGCTGAGATTTTTTATTTTTGTAGGACTATTGCTGCATATGTGTATGTATGTATACATATAAAAGTAATAATTGTTCTTTTCTGTAAGGGAAACAAAATCATCAGAAATACTGGACCAAGTGACAATTTCTCAAGCTAGCTGCTCTTTATTATTTTTTTCCCTCTTTCTTCTTTTTAAAGCACAAACATGTTTCTGACAAAATACATTAAACACAGAACAACAGTACTGATGTATGAGTAGTGGGGAAGCAAAGGAAGGAGTTCTGTGAAGATCAGTAGCAGAATGATGTCCCAGAACTAAATCACACTTCAGATGTGCCTACCCAGTAGTCTCTGCAGTGGCCTTTACTCAGACCAAACTAGATGCAAGACTGCCCTAGCTAAGGAGGCGTACACCACCGTTATTGTGGCTCCATGCTGCACTCACCTCCAGTCCCTCTCAGTGGGTTTTTCATTGCAGCAGGCAAGCCAGCTGCATGGAGGAAATAGATGAAGAGCAGTTGGCAAGCATTCATGCATGGTCATCTTGGAGATAAGTCTATTTTCAACCGCATCTTCCAATTCGTCGTCCTTGCTATCAGCTCAAATTTAGGCAGATACCAGCACCAGTATACTGTCAATGCTGCTAATGGCTTTATTGGTATATGAACACTTAGTAGGCCCAGGTTTAGATGGGCACTGACTATATCTTCCAAACTCACAGCAAACAGAAAAACTCAAGGCTGTCAGGGCTGGCTAGAACACCTGTTATCCTGCTTGTGCACATCAGCCTGCTCTGAGCAAATTACTGCAAGGCATTCAAACAGTAAATATGTTACAGAACACTCAAGAGTTACAGAACGTGTTTTTACGGACAGAATATATGTACAAATAAAGCTGTATCAGGACATCACTCTTGAAGGAAACAGTCAGACTGTTATATTGGAAACAGTGAAAAGAGGATACATTAGGGATGTCATTTGATAAACATCTTGAGGAAAGGCAGACAGAATGTATAAACCAACCAATAAAAGGTTAGTTTTTCACAGGACTATCAGGTATTTACAAGTAATGACAGCCTCTGTCTTAGCAACAAGATAAACACCAGGCTGCCAGGAGACATCAAACTGCTGATGCTCTGATACAGAAAGGCAGGTATAGGGGAAGCGTATTTATTGAATCGTCCTCTGTAGCTATTTTATTATCTCCACAGAAAAGCACTGCTTCAAGATTAACCTTCCTGGGAGACTGACAAAAAGACAGACTATTTTTACTTCCGTAATTGCTAGCAGTTATCTCACAGAAGTAACCTGCAAACCTCATCTGTTTACACATATGCACAATTTCAATGCAAAAGAAATGAAATTATACAATTGCTGTGACTGACACTATTTTTGTGCTTAATCAATCTTCCTTGATTTTTGTAATATTTAGTAATAAAGAGTGTATTTAACACAGCTGTTAGGACTACCTCCACAGAAAACAGAGACACTTTTAGCCAGTTCACAGTGCTAATAATCTAGAAAAGCACCCATGAATTCATTTCAAGTAAAAACTGTGACACTTATTGAAGCTGTAGTTGCATGGATGTTTTTTGGGGAAAAAAAACCAAACAAAAGCCCAACCCAACTTTTCAGCTGTTTTATAGAATAGATGAAATGAATGAGAAAACAAAGGCTACAAATGTAACACTGCCCAGATATCAATCATTTGAACTGTACTTTTAAACCATCCCTACTGAACGAAACTAACCCCTGACAGAACTCACTCTAGAAGAGCTTATATGAACTGCTATGCTGCCATATATCCAGGGGGGTACAAGCACCCACTAAGGAAGAGTGGGAGCCATCATTGTTCTTAGCTGCTCTTCCAAATCTGTTTCTCAGCAGTGAGGCCAAGTACCTACCCTCCTTTTTACTTGGAATAAGACAGTCCAGAGTGTTTTCTTTGTACAACCACCTCCCTATATTGCTACATTTTCCCTTTCCCCATAAGTTAAGATGAGAGACTAGGGGAAAGAAACAAAAGCACAGACATTTAAACATTATGAATTTAAAGTAATGGAAGAAATCCATTATCTGATTTAACAGAAACATCAATTAACATTATACCAAAATGCAATAAATAGCCACCCTTAACATGATGTGAAAAATCACTCTTCACCACTGCACATAAATCTGTGAACTGGAACTTGAGTGAAAAAACAAACCAACCAACATAGCTTTCAAAGTATATTAGCAGAGCAGACAGCAAGGTTACTTTTATACTCCAGACTAAGAATCTATCATTATATTCTAGTCAAAGCAACTTTTTCTGCTCCCATGATCAAATTTCTAAAACATCTTCTTCAGCCCTTCACAACCTGCTTACACATGGCATAATCCCCTCAAGCATATAAAACATTAAATTTTCCATTGGTTGTTGAAAATTCCATGGGTGATTACGTTAGGGAAAGGCAGGCAGGAAGGAGGGTGTGTGTGTGTGAAAATCAAACCTAAACTCTCTAATATTGTGTTTATCAGTGTGGGCCAAGTCACAGACATAGCTAAAACAGCAGCATTCACATCCAAATACAGTATTTAGCTTGGGATGAACCTACTTCAGCAGTTTATGATGCAAGGGCTCTTCAATTCCATCCTCAGTCTTAGTCAGTTAAACAGCTGCTTCTGAAAAAGACATTTGCCAGCTTCTCATCTGACCTTTAAAGATAAGCCCTCATAAAATTTACTCAGTTCTCCAAGACTACAAATCACCGCAGCTCCACTGACTTTCAGGGCATCTACTACTTCACTTGGAAGGGGCACTTCATTTACAGCTGCAAGGCTTCCCACCTCCTCTGCTTCCATACCCCAAAGTGAAATAGCACTGTTCTTCTGCAGTCCCTTCCCCTTAAGAGGCCATCATAGGCCTTTGAAAGTTCTGTACTGACAACATTTGCTGAGAGCATTTCCTAAAGCTGGTCTATTCTGGGTTTCACGGATTCATATAACTAATTTAAAACTCTTTATGCAGCACAAGGCCAATTACTCATCATTAATTAAAAATAAGCATCCTTTAGAAGCACAGGCTAAAATCCATCATTACAAGATCGTATTAATGGTTTATTCCAAGAGTTTAAGCGGTTCGGGTTTGCTTCTTTTATAACAATGCTAACAGGATCTTTAGGTTTTGAGGTTTTTGTTTTGTTCTTTTGAAGCTTGTAGCAGGACTTTAGTTTAAAACCATTATCTATGATTCACTAAGCTCTCTACTCTGTTCCCAGACAGCCTTATCCCCAGCTCCTTGTTACTTTTTTAAAGTGATAAAAATAGACTTATTTTTGCAAGAAGACCTTCCCTTATCTCAACATAGTGAACATATCAGTCAAATCTGGGGGGAGAATGATAGCAGGGGCAGAAGTTATAGCAGGTGGAAACACAGGGAGATAACTAAGCTTCGCAAACAAGAAAACAATTGCCTTGAAAGAGGAACGGGGCTCTTCCAATACTAAGTGCCCATCTCAAATGAGAAAAGAGTATGTAGGGGAAAAAAAAAAATGGAAAGAATAGGAAACCACCCCCAGCACTTCATCTCACCTCCAGCTTTTAGGGAGCCTCATTTTGATACCCAAGGAAAATGAGCATACAAATGGAATTGCCATGCTTATCTTCCTAAGTGCTCTATTTAAGATGACTCAAATGTGAATGCTTTTATAGCCATATTCCACTCTGTAGTGATTAATTTACCAGATTGCTGTTGAAGACGCATCTGCAAAAAAGGCTTTTTAAAAACTAGACAAAATCAAACCTATAAATTGCCCTCTGCATAAGATAACATATGAGACAGTGACCAAGGGCTGAGGATGGGGGGGGAGGGGGTGGGGTGGGGTGCAGAAAAAACACTGTTAGACTATTTAATTCAGTAAGATCTTAATAAATTCCTGCTTCTGCTGTTTTCTAAATATACCTGACATGTCCTCCAATAATTAGGATAATTTTTTCATAAATTATCTCTTTAGACTTAACAAAGAATAAAGAAGTGTTTATGTGGCTTTTGAAAGGTAACAAAGATTTAGTAAATGCATTAGAAATTACTCACTTTTGCTTTAGCACTCTGTGATCAATTAGTCCTTCTTCCTTTACAGTTGAGCACAGATGTTTTTTCTGCTCTAGAGGACCAGAAGTATTTAACATTTGTCTGTCAGTAGCCCTGAAAGAATGAATAAATAAATTATTTCATTAATAAATAAATATGTTCATTGCCACATTTTGAGCAACTTACAGAAAAAGATATTTTAGGTTTCTAAAATACTAGTGGCAGAAATAGAAAAGGAGAGAAATTTACATACTTATTGAACAGTTATGATTTTATGTGATGCTGATATCTCTTAATCAGCCTTTCAGTTCAGTTATCAGACTCTGAGAAGTTAAAAGGAAAATTGTTAATAATATTCTGTAGCAATATTCTAATCACTACATTGATAAAAAACCCAAGAAAATAAATCTCATAGCTTCAGGATAACTGCCATCTTCATAACCTGGCATCTCTGGGAATAATTAAACATTACAATATACAAGGAGAGGAGTGAAAGAGTGATTTACATGGTATTATAAGGCAGTTTCTATTCAACTAGAACTTTGAAGTGTTGTTTCTTACAGAGGTTAAGTATGTCCATATTGAACCTTCAAGTCAGCCTCATTTTTCCATTCATTTCTTCTCCTTTTGTTGGTAGAAGCAAACATCAGCATTTTTACCCTGCACTGGGGGAAAGGCAGAGCTAAGATAGTGGTTATTGTTATGCTGCCAAGAATTCATAGCTGTCATTAGCCATCTGAGAAGGGGGGATGATATAGCTTTCTTTCTGAACCTCACCTCCTCAGAACTTCCCAACTTCAAAGATGCTTTATAAACTGTTCCAGCCTCAGCTGCACTCACACATGAAACGTTACTATTGGAAGCCACAGGCTTTTCACAAACCAGTATTTTTCAGCTTTATAGTTAAAACAAAACAAAAAAACAAATCCAGTATGTTCTCTATGTTGGTTTTAGAAATAATCAATCTTGAATTGGAAAAGATCTTGCTATTACCCAGTAACATCTATGGGCAAGCTCCTCATATGCACATAAACACAGTTTCTATTGCATGACCCAGAACACTTCCACTTACTAGAGACAGACACAAGACAGATGTTTCTTCTATGTCCTAATCCAAACTGCTGGAGATGCAAGTCACATTTGGTGTCCTTTCACAAGTCTGCTACTTCCACACAGAAAGTGTTCACCCATCATACTCAAAACTCCATGCCAGCCAATGACTTTACTTCTGTTTCTAGAAGAAAGGTGACCTGAGCACAATTCGCATGTAGTTGGAACACATGCTAAGGACAGCAGGATAAAGAAGTGACTAGCCAGCAGTGCACCAATAAGCACTGGAAATAGCAGCCATGTAAGAAATATGACAGGGACCAAGACTGCAATTCAGCCTAACATAACTGGGCAACAAAGGAAATAGGAGTTCACTTCTCATATATTGTGGATCCATTAATTTTTTGTTTTGTCGTATATTGTGCTTCTCTGTGTTAAAGTAGCATACCAAGAAAAAGAAATAAGCTTCTTTAAAACAGTGCCTCATACACTTTCTTCTAGTCACGAGTCCTTGAATTAGGTCAAAATGAATTATTCTTACAGGAGTTCGTTCAAGATGTACCAGACAAAATAATTTCTAACTACATCACAAACACAAGCACTCCAGAGTTAAGAAATGAGAGTTAGAGCCATCTGTGTATGAGGATACAGCCTATAAAAAAAATACTGGTTTTACCACAGGAGCTTTTCCATCACTCTACTGCAAGCTGCATAGAATATCATGATTTTTTACTCATCCAAAAATACATGACTCAATGTATTTCTTAAACTTGCTTGAGTTTTATTCTGCAGTTCTTGACTCTGACACAGAGAACATTTCAGAAACAGCAGCTTATTTTCTTTACTTCCCGATAAACAGGAATACCAGCAACTTATTTTCTAGGCAAGACCTCTAGGTAGGACAGATTTTAAGGTATGTTCTATTATATTCACTAATAGCTGAGAATTTCAGCATTTTATTTTTTTGGAGTCTGCAGAACTTGACAGAAAAGGTGTGCCCTCACACTACTGCAGTTCTATGCCCTTTGTGAGAGAGTAAGGCCTGATTTACAGGAGCTGAGAAGTACACAGGGAACAGTCACATTTGAGATGCAGTCTAGCCACATTTTTCTGACAGTCACGGATAAAATCTAAATATTCAGAGCAGCATTCGCACTGCCTTAAGCAGAAGGACAAGTTTTCTTCTGAATCTCCCTGCTGAAATCATTATACATCTACCACCCTTTGTATGAAGTGCAGGGCCCACATACAGCAGTCTTCACGACAGACACTTGCTCTACCTCCAAAGAGGAAGTTTCCTATAAATCAAGTGAGGCAGGACCCTGGAGAAGGGAAACAAGACTGGCTGTGATTGCATACTTCAGGTCTCTGATAAATCATACATGCAGTAACATCATATTCTTCCTGCACCCTCTTTCCTTCTAATGATGCAGGACAATTTACCCAAGGGTTTCATAAGTACAAGGACAAGAGGATGTATCATGTGAGCAAGTTAAGTTATGCTCACAAGTGCAATTTGCCTGGAAATAACCCTGCCATCATCATTTACCATGCGTTGGTTTGCACCATGGAGTCATCTCAGAATGCACAAACTGGACTCCTTTAGGATCAAGGCAAATGCAACAAAGAACGTTCTACAGATCTATTCCTACTGGGCTACAACTGCATACTAATACAGGCTTAGTGCTAGAGTCCTTCCCTGCGAAAAAGGGCATTTTGCATCCATGACAAGCCATTCTCTGCTGTGAGAATTATTTGGCTTAGAAGAGAGCAGTCGGAGCTCAGGATGTCTCTCTTCGGCCTGATATATCAGAAAAGAAAATTATCTTTCCAGATTTACAATAGATCAGAATGAAGGGGTCGGATAGGGGAGAAACCAGTCAACCCACCTACCCCAAAACCCCCAACCAACCCATACCAAAACACGCAACAAAAAAAACCTCTCAAAACCCAACCACAAAACCGTCAACCTCTGCCCCCACCAAAGATACCACAGACAAGGAAAAAAAAAAAAAAAAGAAGCCAGAACATGCCCAGTTAAGACAATCTCTGTGGAATTTTATTTCTAAAAATCTATCTAGTTCCACACAGTGGGATCATCAAATGCTTACGCCTAGATCAAATTGAGAGCTTTTTTGGAGAGACTGTATTTAAATACCTGTGACACATATCCCATCTCTGGCTAAATCATGATTTTACTCCCAGACTTGCAAATATTTAGAACTGCTTCATAACCTTAATATCACAAATACAGAAACTTTCAGCTATAGTTGAAGCTTGATGATGCTTCATCCAAACGAAAACTAGGTCCTAGAAGTGGAAATGAAGAGCAGCTTTAATTAATGGTGTTGTTCAGGAATGCTGCTGCCCTGTTTAAAACCACAAGGTAACAACCTTTTTTTTGCATTTCACACGTTTTTAGAGATATTCAAAGTACAAAAATCAGCTACAAATTGGAGCTGAAGAGCTAGTAAATGTGAGTTTTAAAGTGTTACAGAAAGAATGCAACTATACCTAAACTGGTATTTTCTGTGTCATATACGAACTCACCCACTAATTGCTTCTGGAAATGTTTGAGAAGCTGTTTCAGAATCATATGTAAGGGATTTTAGGCCACTTTTTTGTTGCTGATATTTATTGATCAGGTCCATCAGCACTGCCTGGTGCCCAATCTTCTTCACCAGCTGCTGCACCATACGATCATTAAGAGCCAGAAGAGCTGCTCCACTTACTTCTTCTTCTGCAGATCAAAGGGAATTAAAGAATTTCTGAAAAATAACTTTAGAGTTACAATAACTTCTATGTGCCTAAAAAGATCATGACAGGTCAGAGGCAAGGATGCTTTCTACTCTTGATAGTGTTCAATTGTTAAAAAGCTGGTTTAGATACTGTCCTTTCCCTAACAGCACCAGGAGCCCCAATCACTGGCCAGCTACTTTCCCCTGACAAAAAGCCAAAAAACAGAGAGCTATTTTAACGCTTTAAATCAGGCTTTGCTTAGACCACAGCAGACTGTTGATTAAGGAAGAAAAGTAAGTTTTTTTAAGAAAACACATAACAAATAGCCTGTTGACATAACAGATGGTCATGCAGTCTTTTGTAGGAGGCCTATATACTCAGATATAAAATATTTACACAGTACAGTTGCATTATTTCAAAAGATATATACAATATAGAATAGACCTTTTTAAACTGGCAGCTTGATTTAAGGTGTATCTATTTACATACAGGCTTAATCTCATCCCTTGATGCAGAGGGTTGACCAATGTACAGGGGGGTTGTACAGGGGGGTTTAGAGGAATTCACTTGTGTTAGAGGAATTTACTTGCCTAGACAAGGTATTGTCTGTTGTAAGTGCTTACTAAGCAGAACAAAGACACCAAGTCCTATTGATAAGCAAAAGCAGACACCTGGTCCTATTGATAAGCAGACACCTGATTATAATGATAAGTAGCTATTGATAAGGAAAAGCAGACGCCAGATACAGGAAGAAGCAGATGGTTTATGGCTGGGGCACCGACCAAACCCTAAGACCATATGTGTGAAGACTAAAAGGTGACAAGTTCAAGAAGAGGAAGACTCATTTACTTCATCTTGAAGACCCCTACCCACAAGAGGAAGACTCATTTACTTCATCTTGAGACCCCTGCCCATGACCAGAGGGGGCACTGCGCAGGCGCAGAGGACTTTCTAGGTCATTATAATACGCATATTGTGCAACCTTGTAACTTTAGAGGATAAACGTAGAGGGAAATAACACTGAGGCACACATGCCTTTTGGAGGATCAATCCCCCGTGCGTCTTCAGCTGAATAAAGCATACCTACTTTACAACTTTAACGAAGTTGTGGAGTCTATTCCGCTATCACCCTCAGAATTTCTCAGAGACTTCATAATAAGTCTGCACACTTGTTTTGATTTATCATATCTATGTTAGTCATAATTAACTTCTGTAAGTCTGAAGCTAATACATACATACACAGCCCCTCCACCACCACCCCCAAGAAAAAAAAAGGTAGGCAGTACCAAGTTAAAGACACAGAAAGAAATACTAAACAAACCCTACACAAACAACAAAAATGCTTACCACGAAACTTAGGAACGAGTTCACCTAAATTTCTTTGTCTCAACCAGTTGCAAACTTGATCAACCGACCAATTTTCCATCTTCAGGTGTTGCAATGCAAAATTTCACTATGAAATGAAAAGAAAGGATTATTTTTATGCCAAACTCCAACATTTGATAGTGGGAAAAAAATATACTTAGCAAATAATGTTACACTTACATGCTCTGAATAAAACCAGCACAAAATAATCCAACTAATGCCTGCTACAAGTGGCAGTCTCCCTGGATCCGTTTCTTCACCTCCTCTTCCTTCCCTGCTTTCCCTCTGTTTTAAAAGACAGTCTCATTTCTTATAAAATACGACCTGCTCCAGTACCATTAACACCCAGGTTTCCACACAGAGGAGAGTAAAGGTGTGAAATTCACCAGCACCACGCTCCTCAGGAAACGGCTGACATTTTACGCAAAGAAAAAAAAAACCCAAACCACTCCACCATCAGATAAGATTCTATCACACATATGTTTAGAGTCAATCAAGCACCTTAACCCTTTCAGTACCACCAAGCAGGTGCTCAGGCAAATACTTAACCCTCAATTACCAGCAGTTAGGAGCAATAAAGCTCCTGGAAAATATAGGGGAGGGGCAGCTCCTTCTGTTGGTCCTCTTTTTGAGGCTCCAGCGCTTCTTGGGAAAATGCTTCTGGTTCCTCGCGAAGGAAGAGGGCGCAGAGATGGGACCTAGACCCCGATTCCTGTACCCGGTAAGTCTGTTTAACCCGTCTCTTGTGAACCTCCCCGAAGAGCTGGCTTCAATTGAGGTGAGGGGGGCACATCGTCAATCAAAACAAGCTGCAACCTCAGGGGATGATTTACAAAGCCAAAGCTTGTCCTACTCTGCCAACTCCTTGACAGTAGAAAACTCTCTCTGAGGGTGATTTAGCCCTAGTACATAAAGGAGCATCCAGTGCTCTATGACTATACTTGCAATTCACAACAATGTTAGAGGAACTTATTCAGGCAAGGGCTTGTTTGTTTTGGGGGTTTGTTGATTGTTTTTTGTTGGTTTTTTTTTTTCAGATGAAAACACGAGTGTCTGGCATCATTGGCCAAACCTTTCTTTTCCCAAAATGACCAATGCACAGTCTCTGAGCCTGCAGTGAGTTCATGGGCTCTAACATGAGGGTTCATCCACACACGCCTCACCAAGATCTGGCTCACTGCACTACAAAAACACAAAACCAATCTCCAAAAAAGCTCGGCGCACCATCCTTGAATAAAAACACCCTGGTTTTCATCCTTCACCAACAGAGACCCCCAAAACACATTCACTTCAGCTTACGCTCTTGTGCCACTAGACTTCACCACCTTTAGAAGGGTTAAGTTTAAGAGGAATGTCTTTCTGGATTACATGAGTGGATTTAATTTGATGTGACAACAGTAGCCATACAAGTCCTCCCCCAGGCTAAACAGCAATAACAGGGTGTGAAAAGTCATTATTTGTTGAGAAGTCTGGTGTAAATTAAAAGTCACACCTTCCTGTCACACTTCTTACTTCCTTCCAAAGAGTAAGGTAAAAAAAAAGAAACGAAAAGGTTCCCAAAACTTTAAAGATAAAACCAAATGCAAGGCAGAAAGATACTTGCCTTATCAACCAAGCAGTGTGAAAGCAGCAAGATATATTGAAATGATGGAAAAGGTCCTGCTTCATCCTACAAGAAGAAACTCTCTGAGACTCAATTTGGAGTTTTAGACAGCAGGCATTCTTTATTGTAGCTCTGGGCGCACGTGCGAATCGTTTTGCAAAGGTGAGCACCCCTGGAGTCTACAAGCAGCATCCATATCCAACAAACTTATGCATGTTTACAACCTTTCCAGGAAATTCCTTACATATTCATTAGATTTCCTGGAACTAATTGTAATATTTGCATTTTAATTATTCATGCGTTTTTCTTGCCAAGTGGTGGTCTCAAGGGGTCTCTGGTGGTCATCAATACTCTTCTGCTGACTGATCTCTGTGCTTGCGCATGTGAAAAGACTCTTGTGTAGTACTTAACAATTGTGTCTGTGTTTTAGGTTAGTTTGCTCTGATTTGTTCCTTGAAGAACCCAGTCTGTCTCCCTCATTCCTTTCTTACCTTCACGGGATACTCTTGTTTTATACATACCCCAAGGTCACACCGGTCCATCTTACTCTCAACAAAGCTGTTCCAATTTACTACCTAACATCTTGCTCTCAACAGAGTGGTCCCAATTTACAACTCAGCATTTTAGCTTACAATATATGTTAAGGTTCACTACCCGCAAATACTTTGAAATGCTTCTCAAAAGTTATTTCACTTATTTGCATACACTATGGATAAAGGAGATAATAAAAGAGCACACCAGACTACTAGCAGGATTATGGAGGCAACGAGAAAAACTGAGCATGGATACTGAGATTTGTATTCATTAATGATTCTATTTATTACAGTAACATCAAAAGACTACCCAGTGAAGTGTTCCCTGAGCTTGGTGTGGTAAAACACGATTATTTACATTCTTCAATTAACTCTTAAAAGTCTGAATATGTTAAAAATCAATGGCAGCATTTTAAAGGCACAGTATTTACAGCATAACTTAAAGTAAAATTCAGAGTAGTTCTACATATAAGTGATCCCTGTCTGTTAATAAATACAGACCATTGTTACAGCCCATAATAAATACTGTGAACTATTTCTTCAAACACCTAAGGTAAATACTTATCATTAGGATTTAACCAGCTGTGGTTGATGAAATTAAGTAGTGAAATTAATAAAAATTATTTTCCCTAGGATGAATCAGGATAACACTTGTTTTTAATGTAAAATACAGTAGTTAATTTTCCAGCCTGGTCAATTCTTTGATTCTGTGAAAATTTTGGTGGTTTTAATCAGATCAAGCTAAAGACCATCTATGATACAGATTTCTACACAATAACAAGAGATAAGGTTCCTGATCAGCACACCTGTGCTGGCAAAGGCATACTATGCATGCACTAATTTACTGCGCAGCTGTTTTATGAAAAGACACGATGAGTTACCATCAACTTGAAGTGACACTTCTAACTGAATAAGCCTACACATCGAAACATTTTAGACAAGGAAAGTGAGTTATTATATCTAGTATATGTGTTGATTTGTGAGAGACTCTATGCCATCGCAGGTTACAAATACCACAGCCTTTAACAGGCTTCCATGTTGATGTCACTGAGGTTGGAATTAAGGTTAATTTTAGTACATTTTAATACAAGACTGAGGAATGTGATATGTGCATATCTATACATCACAGCTGTGTGATGCATATTGTAAAAGGCCAGGTCTCAAAGTTGGTTTAGCAAAGGACTCCAGCTCCTGTCACTGAGAGGTGCCGAGATATTTGATAGTTAAGCCCTGGAGTGTGATTCTACAGCAGCCTAAATCACAACAGTCACAATCCAGCTCACTTCTTTGCAGCCATCTGAGCGATCATGCAGTCAGCAGTGCAGGCTAAGCTGAAAACATAATTATTTTGATATGGTGGGTTTTGAATGGATCAGTGCCTTTAAACAGCTCCCTGGGCAACTGAGTGAAAATAGGTGGTGAAACTATATCCCTAGATTCATCAAGGCTCAGACTGATCATTGTTACAGTTCATTATAACAACAAAGATTTCTGTCTTAATGGAGCACTGACTTGTAAAGTTAAGCCAGAAACCCAAAATGTAAGTAGCAACAATTCCACCTCCAAAAACAATTGGGAAATATCCTCATCTCCTTTCCCTCAAATTTTTCTTGGATTATACTGGCCCTGCTTCTTGCAAAATTATTCTCATTCCCATTTGAAGCCCATTCAAGCTTTCCTGGTGAATAACATGTGGAATACTCATAGTGGTGGAGCTAATCCATTAATTACTGAGAAGGATGGGTGCAAGTTTCTACTATTTGCTTGCTCCATTCTTGATTTAGAATCATTAATCAGTTCAGAGAGCTGAACTAGTAGTCAGTCTTCATGACCTTACAAAAAATGGTTAAGGTTAACTGAAAATAACAGCTTACCCAATCTATTTTGATAAAAAAGGGTTGGTGGCAATTTGTAAGTGCTTCAGTTGGCACCTCAAAGCTGCTAATGTTTGACAAAGCCACTCTGTTGCTCCTAAGGGACGAATACAGAAACCTGTTTAGCCTGGGTGATATCTAGAAAGAGATACATATCCCTAAGTGAGTCTGCATAGCTGAGCTATGACATAAATTTGGTCTCCTATGTGGAATCACATGGATACATGGCATTTACATGGTTTTCCCAGATCTACAGAACACTTACACCTTTGGTACCTAAGAGGTGTTACAAAACTTATCACCTAAATTTTGTACATATGCTTTAATTGGCTTTAGTCTGTAATACAACCTGCACTCAAAGTAAGACATTTTTGGCCATGTTTGAACAGTGAAACAACCTACCAGTGCAGCTGGAATAAATTTTAAAGAGGAAAAAAATATTTTTGAGGATTTGTCCCTCAGAACTCTGTACTTGCACTGTCTTTCCAGATTCACAGGGACCGCAACAAACAATTGCACATCTTTAAAATAAGTCTTGCATCAACACAAGATTTTGTCAAGCAACGACTCAATCATGCCCAAAGTCTGGATCTGACCTCTCACTGAGAAGGATCTTTACTAGTCTCTGTGAAATATGTCATCACCACCCTCTGCCACATGTCTGAGATAGCCCAACCTCAAAAAGAGCTACTAGCTAGACCAAGAACTGTTTACAAGACAGCAAAGAAACAAGAACCTTAGCAAAGGTTTTTGAATTCTGCTGGCATTTGATTAGCTGGATGAATCTGCCAGGTAGAAGAGTGACAGTTACTGGGAAGAGACATACAAGGAAAGCCTGAAATGGAACAAACTATGCTCATAGGTAAAGACAGGTGACTGCACACTATCAGTTTTGTCCAGCCAATGAGAATCTGTGCAGAGGTCCCTTTTCAGGTGTTCACTGTATTACTGGGAAAACTAGAGCTTGCTATACCTTATGAATAGTTAGTAGGATGCTCATAGCTCATCAGCACTTTGAAAGAATAAAGCAAGTAAATGTGTTTGAAGCAAAGGACCCAGGTCTGCCTAGTTCAGGCAAAGACACCTCTGGGGTTTAGAATCATAGAATCATAGAATAGTTAGGGTTGGAAAGGACCTTAAGATCATCAAGTTCCAACCCCCCTGCCATGGGCAGGGACACCTCACACTAAACCATATCACCCATGGCCTCGTTTGGCTCATGCTGAAGTTAGACAGATGTGAGGAGGCTGGGGGCACAGTAAGTCTCTCCTGCACTAGCCTTTCCTTCCTTCCCCAGGGAGCTAAGCAGGACACCCTTGGGCAGGACCTCCTTGGTAAGAGATACTGATAGCCTTTAGGAATCACTCAGTGCAAGCTGCCACCTATGACTTTTGGATTTCT